TGCTGCCCAAGAAGACCGACAGCCACAAGGCGAAGAGCAAGTAAAACGAAACGAACCTGGGGAGCATCCCCACCACAAAAGTAACCCAAAGGCTCTTTTTAGAGCCACCCACTTCCTCATAAAAGGAGCTGTAGGTCTTGGGAGCAAAAAAAACAAAAAACCTATTCCGAAACTTGCACTTACTACTGAAAACGAGATTTAATTTAGAAGAAAACCTTAACTGCAACATTACAAAATGATGTGGTAACTACCGGTAAACACATCCTAGAAATACAGAAGTGTGAAAGGGTTAATTTTGCTCTGGTGGGTGTGGGAAAGACGAAGTTGATGGTTATTGCAAGGAGGAACCCACAGCAGCCCCATGGGCCTCTCCTGCGTCAGCTTGGCCCCTAGTGAAGTTGAGGTGACTCACCGATGTCTTGAAAAACAACCCTGCCTCTCTCTAAAGAGCCCTTTGGCCTACAGACTTTGTCTTGTCTTCATAACAATAGGCATTTGGAATTACTAATTTTTTGGATGGTTTTCTCCGTTTTCTCTTGGCTTTGGTGGAGCCACCGCGCCCATTTTCTGCCTGAAACCCGAGTGGGTTTGAGAAGAACTGGAGATTGCCAGACAGGCAGTTTGAGGTGAAAAGAGCTGGTGCCAGCTTTTGTTCCATCTTTATATATCATGCTAAATAGCCCACAAAAGATGTGAAAATAGAAGATCAGTGGTTATGGGTCAAACAACACATTTTTATAGTTCTCCATTTGAAAACATAAATTACTTAAATTGTAACATTGTGCAGAATTTTAGTACCACGATAGCAAGAGGTCACAAGCAGTTTACAGGCCTTTGGCAAAACAGAGGGTTGTAGGTGAAAGTAGCAGAGAATACTTGTTTTCGTTCTCTGTACTCCAAAAAACCCCAAATGCATTTATTTTTAATTTGTTTAAGCGTGGCCTTGGTGTGGCACAGATGCACCTTCCCACTCTTGCCAGCAGCCAGTTGTTTTAATACAGCAGATGCATCATCTGGAGTTGCTGTTTTTAATATTACTTCCAATGCAGGATTTGGTCACTGGACAATAAAAAAATGGAATATTTTACAATCTGCTGTGAAAGGGGAGCCCTAAATGATAATTTGAGCAAGTTTGATTGTGTGGAAATATGGGGGAAAAAAAATCAACTGCAGCAGCATCTCCTCAGATAATGATGACTCAGATTTTCACCAATCAAGCTGTATCAAACTAAAATGCTGCTGAATTACAAAGCAATGGGGCACCAATTATAATTATTGATGAAACCTGGCAGTGTTAAATTCTTATGTCACTTCATTTATTAAGAAAATAAATAATTCTGTAGGAAAGCACCAGGGAGCTGTGTCTGCATTGTGCATGCTGAGCACCGCAGCCCAGGCTGCGGTGCTGTACAAAGTCATCTCCTTCGGGGGCACAAAGAGCCCCTCAGGGGACTTTAATCTGCTTCTAGCCTTGTTACAGAATGCACTAATTTAATTTATTTTAATTATTTTGAAAGGGGTAAAGTATTTTGGACAAAGAAGCTAATTTCTAATCCATATTCAGTGCTCAAGATGAGCCTGTGTTACTTCCTCCTCTTTGAAATCAATTTGTAGTTAAAATATCCATTCGAATCCCTGATTTTCAGCTCAGATTACGAGAAGACCCTTTAAAGAACAATAATTAATTACTTTGGAGATTTAGTTGCCCACGTCGCGGATTTTATTTAGAAGGAAAAACAAAAGTTTCTGTCTCCTGAGGTCTGTCCAGGTCCAGGACTCAGCGTTTATCGCCTCTTTTTTAACTCACCCTTTGCCTCTTCGAAGGGAAACTTTGCCGAGGGGAACAACAGTCTGTCTTTTCCACGCCGCTGTGAACTCGGGGGGGGTCGGTGGCAGAAATTGTGATAAAAACAGGCTTTTTTGACTCCTAAGAAACACAAAATGAGCAGGGAGAAGGGCCCTTTCTGCCGTGCAGCGGGGCGGGCTCTGCAACGCACCAATCACCGCCCGGCTCCTCTCTATAAATACGAGGCCGCCGACTTGCTCCAGGCCCAGTGGTTCCCCCTGATT